AGAAGATGAAGAGCGAGATATCTGTCCACGGCGATAATGGTCAGCGTCCAGAGAGACACCATAATTAAGAAAGAAGAGGTCAGACTGAACGGCAAACCTATGGTACGGTAAAGCCGAACGTTGTCCCAAGCACTACTCAAAAGATATACAGTAAATAAAGGCTGGGACAGTCCTGTCGCAAGATCGGAGATAGCAAGACTGTAGAAGAGCGCTTTTGTAGCGGGGAGGATCGATTTACTGCGCCAAAGAGCGAGTAAACGATTGTGTTGCCAAAGACGGCTGTCAATGAACACATTATGTTGCCGATAACTATTAAGGTGTAGGCAAATGATGATTTCTGGTTTTTAAAAGTGAGTAAAGAAACATTTAGGTAACAAGAGAGGTTGTATTCGCCCGTACGAGAAAGAGTACTGCCGAAGAACATTTGTGAAGAATTATTCATCGCCCAGGAAGTCTTACTTGAGAAGAACGCAGGTGTCCGGAATCAGCACAGAGAGCTATACTCTGTGGCGAAGAGATTTTTTCCCTTTAAACTCAAAAGAGAGTGACGGCAATTGTCGACTATTCCATTTATTCAAACTTCTTTTTTACGAATGGATACTTCCAAGCTGTTCCGCTGTTAATTTCTTCCCCCTGTAGAACCCTAAGTATTACGCAAGCATTCGTCAAGATAAAAGAGCAAACCACACCTTTTGCTTTTAATTATGATTTTAAGCGCAACTAGAATATACATGGATGCTCGAAAGCTCAAGTGGTATTGTATAGTTTAAAAGAACTCAACAGGAAAGTCACATATCAACGTTTCTGAGAAGCTCTCGGTTTTTGACATCGAAGAAAAAGCGCGTCCTTGGGGACACATATTATTTAAGGCCAATCATTTTTTTTCGAGCCAATATAAATGGGGGCGATTTGTCTTTTCAACCCTTCCATTATTTTGTGAGGTGCGCAGAACAAAGTGTTTACGGAGAGCCTCGTGTTAAACCTCTCGCTACTTGGATTGTTGACTTTTTGGTGCTCTCGCCCCACAATGAACAAACCTATCATCACCTTGAATTTAAATTTGAACGAGGACCCTCATTGATATTGTTTTAAACAAAACTTTTAGAAGATTGAATCTATCACTTAAGCAATATCACTTGGAAATTCCTGTCCTAGTTGAACTTTTTAGTCGGACAATTTAGACTTTTAGAGGTATTCTCGTAGTCGAATGCTACCGCGTACCGCTGGGGACTTGCACCCCTTTGACCGTGAAA